AAAGAGCCCTTTTCGTTGTTCATAGTAATTATAGCACCATCAGAAGTGATGATCTGCAGACAGCCATGTTGGCTCTGCCGCAGAGCGAACAGGGAATGTTACACATACCTACAAAGGGAGAGTTGGACGTCTAGACTATTATTTATTAAAAATGCATTTTAAATAACCCGCCTAAGCTTCCTCCCATTATTATTTAACTGAACTTGGTTCTATCCCGGGAAACGCTAGGATCCTATGGAGATGGAAATCCATACAGCGCACGGAAGTTATAACCTTAACTTTACTAGTAACCATTTATTCACATGAAAAAGACAGTGGCCCATGCTTTTGGATGACAATATAAACATATATATATATTTTATATATAGCGAAGGTACATTTACCATCTCTTAAATAACCGCATTCACTTCAAGGGAGGAAAGTGTTATCCTAGCTTAAAAGCAACCACACAGCCCCCCACCTCCCCGAACTCAATGAATTATAAGCAAAAACTACCAGACACACTGCAGGTCCATTTGCTGGTATTGTGGGAGAGGAAAAAAAAAAGCACCTTTGGCGAGAAACACTCCAGAGTGGACAGTTGGATTTACCCTAGTTTCCCCTTATCAGGAATCTGCTCCGCCAAGCCCCGAAATCTCCAGTGGCCATTCAGTGTGTGGAGTTGCACGTGAAAATGAAACTTTGAGTTCCGCAGGGAGGATGTGTCATGTAAACCAATTTACTTTTTCATTCAGATGGCAAGTCAGAGAGATTGAGATATTCTTTGTTTTTCTTCTTTCTTTCTTTTCTCTCTTTTGTTTGTTTTGCTGGGGTGGGCTTTTTTTTTATAAATTTGTTTCCTTGCTTTTTCTTTCTTTCTTTTTTTTTTTTTTTTTTTTTTTTTTCCCCTTCCCTCAAAACAAGGGATTCCCAGTGAAATATTGGAGTCGGTCTCTGTTCAGTTTCTTTTCTTTCATCCTTCTATTCTGGAACCAGATTTTAACTTGCCGGTCAGTGAGGTTGAGCATTCTGGACAACTGCAGTCTTTTCTCTTTGTTTATGTACACGTTGAAAAAAAACTCCCGTTCCAGTTCTCTTATCTGATATTTGGTATAGGGACACCTCTTCTTCCTTGATCGCTGGGGAACTGCTGAAATTCAAGAGAGAATAAACTGATATATGCTGCTGCTACGAACATGCTCAGCTAGGAACAGACTTTGACAATATCCCATCGCCTGGAAAGCAGCCCTCTAGCAGTTCAAAAGAAAATATATATTCCGGGGGCTTTTACTCTCTGGGTGACTTAGCGAAAAAGAGAATATTTCCCAGCTTCTCTTTAAAAGAGAGCACTTCGAGCAATACAGAGAGATATTTAAATGGGCTGGAAAAATTCCAAGTTTCTCAAACTCCTCTCACCCAACCCCCCCACGCCCCCCCGCCCCAAACAAACGAAGGTCTTAAGCCCTAAACCGAAGGCACTGAGCACTACCTGTGAAATCTCCCCGTCTCCCCTCCGCCAAATCAACAATTTAATAACAATTAATATCCTCTTCCAAGAATACCTTAAGCCCACCTAAATTGGTTTCCTATCGTAAACACGCTTTACAACGGTAAAGGAAATCTTATAGGATATATAAAATCCTTTGGATGCTTATAAAATTGCACATAAAATGCGGCTTGACAAAGTGTTGGCCTTGTACTCTTGCCCCCAATTTACTACTGATACCTACCTGAACTGTTGCTCTTCTCTGCAACAGCCTCACCAGAAGGGGAATCGGCGCTGTGTGCTGGTGTCACTTTCTTCTCTTGGCTGGAAGGTGTTTTACTGCAAGTGCTGTTCTGGGCTTTCAAGTCGCCCTTGTCCGCGTCCCCCTCGCCCTCGGAGTGCTGCTGGTATGGGGGTCCGGGGGCTGTCTCGTAAAATTGGTCGAAGCCTTGCGGCAGGATGCCGTTCCTCCCCACCGAGCTGTAGAAGTTGGAGGCGGCGGGAGACGGTCCGTGGTGGCCGCAGACAGGGTCCGTTTTGAATAACATTTCCGTCCTCCTGTTCGCAGGCTGCAGAAAGTCTCTGTGCATCACCTCTTCAGCTGAGTAATAGGGAGCATAACTGCCCCTGTACTGCCATTTGCTGCGTTCTAATCCGTATTCCCTGAATGCTACTTCGCGCACAGGTTGGACATGAGGTAAATTAGAAGAATAAGGAAAAGTCATTTGACAGGACGACGATTGCGACAAAAAAGAGGGTTTCGTCGAGAAATCTGAGGGTGAGACGTAATAAGCGCACCCTGGCAGATACATATTGGATGTGCCGTGACTGCAATCGTCAAACTCAGTCATGTCTTCCTTTTTGCGATTGCAAGCAACCAGGAGGCTTCAATGCATTGAACAAGATCCATCTATTGCACAAGAGGCTTTGGACAGGATCAACTAAGAAAAAATCCCCACCGTGTGCTGACGTGCAATTCATCTTGATTGATTCTAGTGGTAATTATGTCACGTGACGCGATGTAGAAATGTCCTTATATCTATATCAGCCCCTCGGAAAGGCTCCTAAGATCTCTCCAAAGAGCCCTCCCAGCACGGAGGGGCGAGCGCAGCGTTTGTACAAACAAATATCTCCGGTTTTCCCCTCACCCTTTCACCGGGCGATGAGACACCCGTAGGTGGCACGGGGGAGCACCTGGGGCCG